TCCTTGGCCTCTTCCTCATCATGGCTATAGAATACTGAGGAGGCAATTCTTACTAACGTCACAAGTGAGCCATCCAGGGCAAAAGCCATTCTTTGTAGCTTTTTCTCTCCAGCCTCCCAGTGCATTGAGACCCTGGCAACCACTTAGTGTCCTCTCCCCAACCGTCAGCACAGGCAGCAGACATCTCGGCGCAGACCTCTCCAGAGCTCCACGCTCTCCTCCACTGCGCCTATACTGTCAGGGGAAGAATGACTTCCAGGGGGTCTCCCCAGGTTAACAGCTGTATCTATTTATGGTTTGCCATTAAACTATGAAGAAAAAAAACAGCTAGAGTTACTCAGGGGAAATCATGACAGTTATTATTCAAGATGGCTGTGGTCATGTCAAGCTGTATCCACAGGGAACTGAACAGCAGGTGCACAGGGAATTTTACAAGATCTTTTTCCAGTCTTGTTTGACTCTTCTAGTTCTAGGAGTTAATGTTATCATATCCCTAGTGCAAAGGGTCCTTAGCAAATTGGGGCTTATCATGGTGGTTGAATAAAGCTCAAGTTATGGGAGTGCCCTACTGGTGGATCCTGTGGGTTTTGTTTGAGAAGGAAAAATATGAGCAAGAATAAGATGGGTGGAGGGTGTGACAAAGAAAAGGAAAAGAGGAAGTGGTAATGCCCCAGAAGTCTTACATATGTTATTGTGTTTAATCCTCATATTCATCTTTGAGATGTTATAACTGGGTGAGGAAGGAAGCAACCTGGCTAAGGCTAAGTGGGGGTAGTGGCTGCTTATGATCTCAAGAACCAGTGGTCAAGTTAGTCTTGAGAGGAAGCAGAGAATAAGATCACTATCCTAGCACAAGTTCCATTTACTCTCCTTGTTCTGGGTCCCCAGGCAGGGGTTGGGTGCAGCCATAACTGCTGTCACATATTTGTGCTATGTCCTACCCTGCCCCTAAAGCAGTGACAGTGATGTACTTGGATGGAACAAATACAGCCACTTCAGAATCATACTTCTGACCCAGAGGCAGCCTCACATCTCTCCTGGTATTTTTGTCTTCTTACCATATTAAAACACACACACGCACACACACATGCATGCACACACACACACTTTATTATGTTATACATACTGGTTGCTGGAAAATAGTGGGGAAAGGCACTACATCCTCAGAACTTTTTCATTTTTTAACTTTTAAACAGGATCTCACTAAATTGTCCAGGCTGGCCTTGCACTTGCAATCCTCCAGCTTTAGTTCCCAAGTGGCTGGGATTATAAGTGTGCAACACTATGCCTGGCCCTCACTAACATTTTGATCCCCATTCCCGTCGGTATCTCAGATCACGGGGACCTTGTCTCCTGTGTTTATTAATCATCCCGTTCCAATTTACAGATATGAATCCAACTGGGGGTTTATTTTATTATATCATGAGTCCAACTGGGGTCTTGTTTTCAGTCTGGGAAGGAAGTTGGCCTTCTAAATTTCGTTGGTTGACGGTCATAGATTTGAGGAATAGGTAGTTAGTGGTCACGTTTGGGGGTTTCAACTTCCAAGCATTCACTTCCCCACTTTGGGACTGAAAGGTATTACAGGTCTTTTATCATATGGGAGTCTGTATTCAAGAAGCACACCATTGAATTAATTGTATGTTGTTGTTTTTGTCTTTTAAAGCTTTGGTAGCTTTCTGTTGCTTGGCATGTGTTTGAACCTTGGTGATAGCTAGAACTGGTCGTGGCCTTGAGAACTTCATTTGTAATGATGCCTGGCTGGTGCAGCGGGTGGTCTCTTCTCTCTGGCTCTGTCTCTCTGGCAACTGTCTGAGAGAGCGAGGAGCAGCCTGGAGGGGCGGAGCCGGAGGGAGGATGGCGGCCGGCGCCTCCGGTAACCTAGCAACCGGTGCCGAGCAACGACCAGGGAGCGGAACAGCGGGAGGAAGTCGGAAATGGAAAGTCAAGTCTCGCGAGAGTTGCGTTTGCGCGCGAACTGTAAGTGCAGTGTGCCTAGGGTGAGATCACGACTGGTGGTTGGTTATACAGGTGTTTGTTGGATGCGATTACCGCAAAGGCCCTGGTCACTATAGTCTTCCCACCATGGAGATCTCAGAGTTGAAGCAGCAGCAGCAGCCCGCGGCGGCCAAGATCAGGAACCTGCCCTGGTAGGAGGCTCAGCTGTCGCGGTGGGAAGGGGGTTGCGGGGAGGTGGGCGAGTGGCGGGATCCTACCTGACCTCGCCCCGCCGCCCCCGGGTGAGCCGCGGAGCTGTGCCTGGACGTGCTCCCCGCCCCCCACCCCCTACTCCCGGCCAATTTCCCAGGGCCCTGCATTCTACTTAGAATGTGCGGGTACTCATCCTCCCGTCCCATTCTCCAAAAATGGGAAATGGCTTTCGCACCTACTAACAGCCCAAGAACCTGATCCTGTGTCTCCAAGCCAGAACGCCCTCTCGCCTCCTGCCAAAATTTTCAATGCGACGATTTGTCGTATTCTAAAGTAAAACCATAGTAACAGTTTTTGTTTGTTTGTTTGTTTGTTTTACTGAACGTGTTGCTATTAGATTAGCAGGCACCCTATTATTTAAACCTTTACAAAGAGCTAGGAGGTAGTTACTAGTATTGTTCGAATTTTACACACAAGGAAATTGCGTATTAGGTTAAATGACTTGCTAAGGTCGAGGGCTAGAAAAAGTCTTGGATTTGAATCCAGGTGGTCCGAATTCAGAGCTTGCACTTTTAATCATGGTACTGCAACAGCTGTTTCCTAGTGATGCAAGACTTTGATGGGAGTTGGCTTGATTTAGGAAAACTACAAGTTGTTCTGGTCTAATAATAATAAATTTGTTTTTGTTATGGTAAAAAAAAAAAAAAGCATAACATATGCAGTTTAACCATTTCAGAGTGTATAAGTATATTCAGAATGTTGTGTAACCCCAGTGTCTCATTCCAGTAATTTTCATCATCCCAAACGGAAACCCCATCCATACTCCTTGGCGGCCACTTCATCTCCTTTCCTGTCTGCTCCTTTCTGTCTGTATGGAGTTTCCTGTCTTGCACATTTCATATAAGTGAACCATGCAACAGAAAGCCTTTTGTGTCTGGATTCTTACACTTAGCCTGTTTTCAAGGTTATAATATATAGTATATAGTTTTCCATGTTATAGTACGAATCAGTTTCTTTTATGGCCAAGTCACACTGCATGACATGCATAGCCCACATCCATTGCATTGATGGATATACATCCATTGATGGATATTTGGATGTGAGTTTAGTTTCGGTTTCACTTTAAAGTAGTAGGTGTTCACGCAGGTTGACATGACTATTGACATTTGGGGCCTAATACTGGAGTGCAAGAGAGTAGAGGGGAGCTGTACTGTGTGTTGTAGCATGTTTAGCAACATCCCTAGCACCTACCCTCATGATGCCAGTAGCATTTATTGCCCAGTTATAACAACTGACGTGTCTTCAGATATCACTATCCGTTCTTTGGAGGATAAATTGCTCCTGGTTAAGAGACACTGGTCTATAAAAGGTTTGTGAAAGGAATGTTTTGCATAGAAAGAAGAAATTCTTGCAGTTACGTATGTTGTAATACATTGTAAATTATATTTCAGGGTTGAAAAATATCGGCCACAGACACTGAATGATCTCATTTCTCATCAGGACATTCTGAGTACCAGTAAGCATCCTTGTGTCAACTGCTGTTATCCTAGTTGAAAGATCTTTATACCCTTCTTGGTAATATTGTCTCTGTTGAGCTTTGTAGCATGTGGCTTTAAGATTTGTCATTCCTGTATCTGCCCCTGATTGGGATGTTGCATTGGGTTGAGGCAGCTCCCGAAGACTGATGGTGTCTCTCTCTTTCTCTCTCTCTTCCTGATCATTCAGTTCAGAAATTTATCAGTGAAGACCGACTACCACACCTGCTCCTCTATGGCCCTCCAGGGACAGGAAAGACATCCACCATTCTTGCCTGTGCTAAACAGTTATACAAAGATAAAGAATTTGGCTCCATGGTCTTGGAGGTAAATAGAATTATTCTCTTTCTACAAGTAACTAAGAACCCCAGTCACTTGACTTTTGTTACTACCAGTTTTATTTAAGTTCCCCACTGGCAGTTGAGAAAGAAGCAGAGTTGAGCTAAGATATTTTACTTCAAATAATGGTCAGTTTTGACTGCATTGGCATTCGTCAGCTAGAGGGCAGTTGAAGAGCGAGACATTTTTCTTTGCTGTTGCTGACTTTTATCCAAACTGAACTTTTTGGTCACTATGTTCTTGACCATGTGTTACGTACCCCACTGCATCCTTTCTCCAATTTTTACCATCCTCTCCTTACCTGGATGGCTGAGCTGCGTTGATTAGAGGCTCCCTTGCCCTCTGGTTCCTGCTTGGGTTTGGCCAATGGGGATACTGGCAGGGGTCAGAGAAAGAAGAGAATAAGGCCTGGACCTGCCCTGAGGGTTAACCCTCAGGGCTCACCTCGCAGATGGTACCCTACCCATAGTGTGCTCCGGGTACCTACAGAAGCTCCTTCCTGGAACCCCATCAGGCTTGGAGTGATAACAGTTAATTTTATAACCCTGTGGTTTTCTATATCCAAACTTGCTTATTTTCAGACAGGGTCTCACTATGTAGTTGAGGCTGACCTGGAACTCACTATGTAATCCAAGCTAGCTTTGAACCTTTGACGATTGATCTTCCTGCCTCAGCCTCCCAAGTGCTAGGATCACAGGCATGCGCCACCCCACTCAGCCTGGACCAGCATCTTTTAAAAATCTCTCTTCCTTTGATTGTCTTCAAGTTATTGCATTCAAGTATGCCATTTGTATATGTTTGTAACTTTGACAGATACACTTAGATTATAAAAATCTAAGTATTGTCTGTTGCAAGAAAAGTGATTTAGTTACTCTTCAGATATGGGTCTAAGAACCTTCCTGCCCATAGTGTTCCTACTGCGATGTATTCAGCATGTGGTAGCCTCTGCATTGATCTGAGTTGTAGTAGCTAAAAGTAGCCAGAAGTGCTGTTCGAGGTGACCAGGCCAATTACTTACTCCCAAATTTATGTAGAGAGATTGTCTTCAGAAGTTGGGGGGAAAGATCATTTGCCTTTCAGATGTAATGTGATGATGATTTAGTGAGCTTTGAGTACAACTGTGATTTTTTTTTTTTAAAATAATTATCTCGAAGCTGTCCTCAGACCTGGAGAACTAGTTTGCTGAGCTGGATGGATGAGTGGAGTAAAGCTAAGAATTCATAAATAAACAATGGTGTTCATTGTGGCTTCTCTCTTCATGTAGCTGAATGCGTCTGACGACCGAGGAATAGATATTGTTCGGGGACCAATTCTGAGCTTTGCGAGCACAAGGACAATATTTAAGTAAGAATTAACTGTATAATTTATCTCCCTAGAGAGAGGTGGGGGGGATATGTTTTAATTTTTTTCACCCTCCCCATTGTAAGTTTCTAGAGGTAAAAATAAGACTGTCAGAAGCAACCATGAAAAAGAGGTACAGGTATAAGAACAGTCAGAAGAAATGTTACACTGCAAAAATTAAGCCAAAATATTATCGAAGCCTACATTAACAGCACTCTCAGGAAGCATTAGCTTCATTTTGATCATTAACGAAGGACTGATTGAATCTAAGACTGGTGTGAATTTGAAGATAAATTGAGATCAGGAAGGATAACTAGGATACTGGTTTAAAAAAGAAGGGGAACAAGGTGAAACGACTTGGGGGTGAGTCAGGAAGATGGAGAAAAGCAGATAATGGGGCTGGGGCACACATCAGCGGTAGAGGGCACGCTTAGCATGTGTGAGGCGCTGGGGTTCCATCCCCAGCATTGAAACAGCAGTGGCGTACAATAGTAGGATAGCATGCAGAGGGAAGGCAAAGCATCAGAGAACGTAAGACCAGCACAGAAATTAAATCTCATTTTCCGCTAAGGGTTGAAGGCATGTGAGTCATTTCCTGTCTGTGTGGCCACAGCTGTCAGCCTTGGACAGAGTTTAGGAGAGGTGGAGTTCACAGGACAGGGCCTAATGGCATGAACACGAAGGCGGAGGTTTGGGTTGGATGCTGAAATGAGATTTGAATAAATCCTAAGATGTGCTGTGTTGTTTCCTAGGAAAGGCTTTAAACTAGTGATCTTGGATGAAGCTGATGCCATGACCCAAGACGCTCAGAATGCCCTGAGAAGAGGTAAGAACTGCCAAGGACTGTGCAGTGCACCTTACGGAAAATTAGCAGCTGAGATACAGGCATGGCATGTTTTCCATTTTTCTATTTTCTGATCCAGCGGAACCTTTCCCCACATACTTGACGACCCAGACAGAATATCTGTGTAGCCCTGGTTTCCTCTCTAGCAGTTTAAAGACATGGCCCTCTTGGGACTTCTGTTTTTCATTTTTGTGTGGTGCTAAGGCTCAAACCTAGAGGTACTTTACCACTGAGCTATGTCCCTACCCCTTTCTCTTTATTCTTTTTTTTTTTTAAGGCAGGCTCTCACTTAGTTTCCCAAGTAAGACTCGAACTTGCAGTTGTCCTGACTCATCTTCCCTACGTACTGGACCACATTACCACACCTGTTGGGACTTTTATGTATGCCTGGTCACTGGCATTTTCTCTTCCTTTGCTGCTGCATTTGGTTTCAGGTTGTGGATTTGCATCATTCATTGGGAGGGTGTGGAAAGTCTTTCCTTTTTTTTTGGTACTAGAAATTGAACTAATGACCTCACACTTGCCAGGCAGTTGCTGTGCCACTGAGCTAAATCCTCCGCCCTTTCCTTTCAAAACTATTGGGTAGGCCCTTCTGCCATTGTATCTTTAGATATAAAGGAGCCTGGAGAAGAATATCTGGAGTATAAGGACACTCTGCAAGCTGGCATTACTTCCCTACTTGCCAAGTGAATGTTTTGGCAGAGAAGAAAGAAGCCCGTGATCTGTCCATCTTACAGGGTCCACTGCAGTTATGTTTGGCTTTTTTTTTTTTTTGAGACAGGATCTTGCTATGTAGTCCATGCTGGAATTGAACTCACTGTGTAGCCCAATGTGGCCACGAATTCATGGCAGTCCTCCTGCCTCAGCCTCTTCAGCACTGGGATTATAGTTGTGCACCACCTCACCCTGCTGCCATTGCAGTTAAAGGAAGCTTATGATCCCTCATTAAGATTCTGAGGGAATCAGCTGGGAGAGAAAGATGCTCTTTGGGAGCTCAGGAGGCGAGGACTGGACTGCAGCAAGTGTTGAGGAGGAGGAGGGGGAGGACAGTTACCATGTCTTCTGGCCCTAGGAGCGTTGGCAGCCTTTCTTCAGCATCTCGTTCTGCAGAGTGCTGTCAGTCTGGGCAGATCCTCATGCGAGAACACTGGGTCCCTGCAGAATGACAGTGGCGTCCTAAGCATCTCTCAGCTCGGGTTGTTGCTTTGAGAGCTCAGGTCTCCAAAGGCCCCTGGAAAGTCTGCACAAAGCTGTCCTCCTCCTGCCCAGAGAGCATGAAGCATCACCTACCTGCCACATAGCATTTCATACCAGAAGGATAAGATCTTGTGTGCTGGGGCTCACATTCTAAGGGATAAGGTAGCAAAGGCCAGAATCATGGCATATCAGGAAAAAACCTACAATTTTATAAAATCCCACACGTAGCACATTCATTAGTTTTGAAAGAAGAGTGGCTGGTCTCCTGTCCTGGGTACCCGGGATACCCTGTCCCCCATGGGCAGCGTCCCCACTCTTGCCTTTTGAATCTTCCTGTACCCTCCACGTGACCTCAGAAAAGTTCAGGGTTTCTAGGGCCTTTGAAGAATTGGAATGGACTTCGACATGAGGTGTTTTTATTTTCCTTCACCAGTGATTGAGAAGTTCACTGAAAATACCAGATTTTGCCTCATCTGTAACTATCTGTCCAAGATCATCCCTGCCTTGCAGTCTCGGTGTACGAGGTTCCGGTTTGGTCCCCTGACACCAGAACTCATGGTCCCCCGCCTGGAACATGTGGTAAAAGAAGAGAAGTGAGTGTACTGGAAAGCAGGCGAGGCGAGGGCCCGGGGGATGAGGGGAGCGTGGGCAGGGCCCTGGGATGCCGGCTGATGCCAACGGGAAGGCAGTAGCGTTGGCAAATGACTTAGCAGAATGCCTCGCGCAGGGGAGCACGGGGGACTGCTGGCTGCTGCCGTTTTCTCTGGTATCTCACGGACATTCCTCCTCATAAAAGTCATTTGGTTTTTCTTGATTCCCTCCTCCTCCGCTGGAAGCTGTCCCACTTTCCTCCTACTCTTTGTCATTGGAAACTGCACACAGCCGAGTCCCTTCTGCAGATGCTGCCAGCCTTTTTAGACTAGAAGGGAAGGTTCTGAGACATTGCATTCTGAGGCATCAGATGCCAAGCCAGTATCTTCCCCAGGCGGCTGCTTATTCTGAAGGAGGTGTCTTGGGCCCTCTGGCGATCCGTCACACCAGGGCCCCCCTGGGGAACGTCACTCACAGCCAGTTACTCAATGTAAGGATTCTTAGATTTGGGGTACACTGTGATTACTAATGTGAGGCCCACATCCCTAAGGACCAGAGTGATCACTAGATGCTATCCATTAGGAGAACATCATTAGCTCTTCCTCCTTTTTTTGATCCTTTTAAAGCCCTAATCATGCAAGGCCGTCTCATTCCCCTTGGTGACACTGTGCTCTCAAGGGGCTTCACGATCCTTGTCTCCTGTTTCCTTCCAGAGTGGATATAAGTGAAGACGGAATGAAAGCACTTGTGACGCTCTCCAGTGGAGATATGCGAAGGGCTCTCAACATTTTGCAGGTTGGTCCTACTCAAAGCACATCGCGGGTCATTGTTTCAAAAGTTTTTCAGCAAAGCATCAACCTGTCATTAAATTCAGAAATCTAGAACTGCTAGGGCAGCTCTCTTAATGTTTCAGATCCCTGCCGTTTATATTTTGATTAATTGAAAGAATCATTTATCACTAACAAGGGAGAGTTCTGCAGCTCTGACAGCCAGCACAAAAACACCGTTCATGGTGTCCTGGCCTATGTCATGTCACTGTGGGGCAAGTTCTCCCTGGCCCCCTGCAGCTTGGCAGCTGCTGACAACCCCTGGGATATACCTCTCTGTCTGCACAGAGCACCAATATGGCCTTTGGGAAGGTGACCGAGGAGACCGTCTACACCTGCACAGGGCACCCACTCAAGTCAGACATCGCCAACATTCTGGACTGGATGTTGAATCAGGACTTCACCACAGCCTACAGAAGTATCCTTTTTCGAGTCCACCACCGTCTTAAATGCCTGAGGCCTGCAGGTGGCCCCAGGTGTTCGTGCTGCAGCCAGCACCTACACCCTGCTGGCCAAGGATGACTGGCTGCTTGTGGCTTCGGTCAGCTTGGTGTGGAAATCGGGGTCTGTAGGTGGAGTAAGTACTTGTTTTTAACACCCCAAAAGTTCTGCCTCACTGCCTTTGTCCTGTGTTATTGTGGTATATTATCCCCTAGTTATTGCAGACTGATTAGGCCCGCAATCTCCCAAACAAGTAGACAGTGAAGGTATAAATAAATGAGACAAATGAAATGATTTCAGAGCTCCAGGAGGTTCCAAACCCTCAATCAGAGTTCTGAGAATAAGACAAAGAACTTCTCTGGGCAGCCCATATTTATTAGGTTTTAAAACAAAGGGGAATACTGAAGAAAAGGCAGGAATCTGGGCAGGACTTGGGAATCCCTCTAAGGACTTCTCCAAGTAACACCTTATATTAATTTAGGAGAACTATGTTATCTCCAGGAACACCTTCACCATTTTAGTGAGTAGTCTGCAGCTATAGACCCCTTTTAGTTAATTGGGGTTGGAGCCAAACATCCTCAGCTGTGGCCTTATTTTGTCCTGTAAGGCATCCCAACTTCACAGGCCAATACAGGCCTCAGCATAGACCAGTGATTCATAGAAGTTCACTTTCTATAAGTCTGCTGCCCATCTCCAGACAAGGGCCTAGACTTTGGACAACCTCCCACATAAACTTGAAAAGCCAATTGATTAATATTAAATCCTGCTCAGAGCCGCTTCGTAGTGGTCTTCATCACTGTGTAAGGCTTAAAACAACTTGGCTCACAGATAGAAGATGGCAATAATTTTAAAGTGGTTGGTGTTAGCTGTTATTTTGCCATGAAATTAAAAGGAATGGTGTATGAAACTGTTTGAGGAATGCATTTGGCTTGTTCTTCACTAGTAGGAGATACAGCTGTACCTTCTATAAAGCCCTCACTGGAGAGAAAACATTTAAAAAGTAAGACTTGGACCCTAATAGGAAACTTGACATTGAAAGCAAAACAGCTGTGTTGCCATTAAAGGCCTACTTTAAAATCCCTCTTTGGATTAAAACTTCTCTGTGGTCTGTTTGCTCTGGAACTTGTTCCTGTGCCTTCACTGCTCCTCTGTAGATATCACGGAGCTGAAGACTCTGAAGGGGCTGGCGTTACATGACATCCTGACCGAGATTCACTTGTTTGTGCATAGAGGTAACCTGCATCCGTCCCTAGCCGAGAAACTCAGAACTTTGGGGTTAAGGGATGTTAGAAAGTGAACGTGAGCCCTTTTTTTTTTTTTTTTTTTTTTTGTGAAACAGGATCTCACTATGTAGTTCAGGGTGGCCTTGATAATTTGCAGTTATCCTCCTGCCTCAGCCTGTGTACCACCACATTTAGCTCAAAACTTTATTTCTGAAGCAAAGAAACAAGAATGAAGTAGTGTAAATCTCATCCCCTAATTTCTTTAGTAACCTTGTCTTGCTGTTTAAAACTTTGTTTCAGCTGGGCATAGTAGGCTGAGGCAGGAGGACTGCCACAAGTTCAGGGTCAGCCTGAGCCACATAGGAAGTCCGTGTCCCAAAAAGAAAAGGACATGGGGGAGATGATCCATCTTCATGTAAACCAAAGTAGTCCTAAGGAAACTGTCTTATGTTCCGTACCTGTTGTAACTTCTATGTAAAGAACTGATTCATCTCAGCCTCCGCAGCACCTAGGAATCACCTCAGAGCCACTAAATCAGTTTCCGGGGCAAGTAAGAATTAGCATTTTTTCATGGTCCCCTGTAGCTTTTTGGAGAAACTTTTCAGTCTTCAGCCACCTGTAAATAAATGGAGGAGACCTTTATATCAACGAGTGTTGGTTCTACCTGTGCAGACCTCTGTTATTATTTTGGCGTGATACTGGGAATTGAAGCTAGGGCCTTTGCACTTCACTCCGTCCCCAGCCCTTTTCTGTTTTTATTTTTTGAGACAGTCTCGCTGAATCACTAATTTGCCTAGGTTCGACTTGAACTTGCGATGCTCCTGCCTCAGCCTCCCAGATTGCTAGGATTATAGGCATGCACCACCGCACCCAACCCAGTTGATTTGAAGTATTTTTAAAACTGGGACAGTAAGTGAGAACTTAGCTTTCACATTAACTTAAGTTACCCACAAAGAGTAGTGTTGATAGCTCTCCTGTATTCTCATAATCGCTGTGGAATCTGATATATATACATGTATGTGTGTACTTTTAACTATACTTTAAGAATGAAAATATGGGTAAAAGTATGAAATCTAGACTGTCTTCACTTAGAGGTCTGCTAACTTTTGACTAGTCTGAGGCCTCAGAAGTTCACTATTACCTATTTGATGTTTAAGCACATTTTTCTCTGCAGTTTTTTGATAGTAGGAAGTGATGGATCTCACTCATTCGATTTTGTTTATCCCTCAGTTGACTTTCCGTCTTCAGTTCGAATTCATTTATTGACCAAAATGGCAGATATTGAGTGAGTATTTCTTTTCCCGCTTTTAATTTTTTTCCTTTTGTGAGTTGTTTCTGCTTGTTTCAGTCTTCTACCCACATCAGACCCTTGTGCTTTATACCAGTCTGGGGTAGTAGCAAATGGAATGTGGCAAAGGCTGTGAGTTGCTTATTTCCAGAGCGCAGGAGTAAGCGCGGCAGACGAGTTACACACTTGAGGGCCTCTCCTCCAGCCTCAAAGGCTGGGTCCATGTTAGTTCTGGTGCTCTTGTCACGTGGGAGGCATCTTCAGTTCGGACATCTAGGTCATTCGGGGTTGACTAGCTATTCAGCTGTTATTAAGGGATTTTGGCACACTGAAGCATATTGGGGAAAAGTAAACACAAAATTTTCTACTTTGCCTGGTTCAGTAAACACTGTTATTAGCCCCCAGTGAAGCTGGCAGCTATCATTTAGATAGCCAGAGCGTTGGATTTCAACTAGATGTGAGCATAAGCCGGCTCTGATTTACTGTCATTGTCTTTCATGTGTACAAATTAGGTCACTTCTCATCGTTGTACTGTGAATATGATTTTGCTTTTGATGGCTGGGCACTTCAAAGGCAGCAAGATGAGCTGCCACTGTCTTTCTTCACTCACCCACAGACCCCAGATACACTTCCCAGTGAAACGTTTTAAGAGAAATCTCCGTTTTATTTACTCACTGCATTTTGCAGATGAAGAAATAATCCTTTTTTTTTTTTCCCCCCCGGTACCGGGAATTGAACTCATGACCTCTTGCCAGGCAGGTGCTGTGCGGCTGAGCTAAATCCCCAGCCCCTGAAGAAATAATCCTTAATAACAGGAAGTCTGTGTAGTTCAGAACACTACTGTTAAAATTTGTCTTCAGCAGTTCAAATGCAATTTCCAAATCAATGTGGAGGGTGAGAAAATGTTAAGGGAGCACATAAAAGACCGCTAGCTGTCCTGGATCAATTTTTATCAAGTCCCTTACCCTTCAGCATGGCCAGCCTTTGATCTCTCCTACGCTCTTGGCAGAAGGCCGTGGTCTGATCTTTATCCTCACCTTGCTTTGCTTCATTTCAGGTACAGGCTTTCTGTTGGCACCAGTGAGAAGATTCAGCTGAGTTCCCTCATTGCTGCTTTTCAAGTCACCAGAGACCTGATTGTAGCAGAGGCCTAGATTGTCCTAGGCCCCAAGGGGGACTGGAGAAGCAGCGGACTCAAGTTAGGGGTAAAGACAGCACTGGGGCTGTACGATGAAGCCAATCACCCCTAGTCTTGGAAGGCTGTTCCACAGTATTATCTGTGGCTGTTCGGAATAAGGATGTATAGAACAGTGTTAACCTACAGCTGTCTTACCATCTTTTATAGGACAAAAATGTTTTTCTTCCCAGACTTAAGGCTTTTACCTTTCAGTTGCACGGGTGACAGGATATTGGCTCACCCAATTTTGGTCTAATACAGGAGATTTTCAAGTCTATTGTGTATGGCCCAAGTGTCTTCCAACTCAGACATCTCCAAAATTGTGTATAAATCTAATTTTTGATACTGTTTCATTTCTAAATAGGTGCTAATGGATTTCTGGCCGCAAATATTTTTACCTTGTTTTGCTTTGTTGGTACCAGGAATTGAACTTAGGACCCTGCACTTGCCAGGCAGGCGTTTGTGCCACTGAGCTATATCCTTGGACCTATAATTCTTATAAAAAGTGAAGTCTTAATTTCTGGGTTTTTTGAGACAGGGTTTGTGTGTTTCAGTCTGGCCTTGAACTTGGAGCAGTCCTCTTGCCTCAGCCTCCTGAGTACTGGGATTACAAGCATGTGCCATCATGCCTAGCTTCCTAAAATTTTTTTGAATTCTTACTATAAAAACTGATCTTTTTACTTTCCCTCTTGAAGACTTACCAACAAGTTGCAAATGGTAACAGTACGAAAAAACTTATAAAGAGCTAGCTATTAAATTGTGACAATGTGAGCCACTGGCTGTATAAGTCATTTTTAATCCAGGGAGGGCATGTGAGATTTAAACCAGAGTCCAAACCTGTAACTGCTGAAAGGACTGGGATTTCTCTACAAATACAGCACTTTTGTAGCACTTTCGCTGCACTTAAGTGCTTCATAGCAAGCGTAACGCAGCTTGCTTGGTTGTAAGACTCCCTTTAGCTGGTTAGAGATGCTGACTGTCCACCTTACATGTACAGTAAATCCTTCTGTCTGGTATCACAGAACAAACTTTGCTTTAGAGACTGTTCCTTACAAAGGTGTCAAGTTCTTAGACCTCAACTTTTCAGTAGTTTGACTTAGTTTTTCAACTTAATGATACAAAAGGATCTCACGTTCAGTAGAAACCAAACTTCAAATTTTGATTGTCCCCAGGCTGCCCACATGCAATATGATACTCTGGTGACAGTGGGCAGCAGCAGCAGCAAGCCACAGCTCCTGTCAGCCACATGATGACAGGGGGAACAACTGACACTTTGCAGTGTACTGTGTCCCTAAGCTATGGTGTTCAGTAGATGCATTAGATGTATCTTCAGCTGGGTGTTTTCAATTTATAGTGAGATTGTTGGGGTGTAACTGCACTGTAAGTTGAGGCACATCTGTACCATCCAGTAAAAGCAGGGCTGTGTGTATGGCTCAGAGCACTTACCTAGTATGTGTGAGGCCCTGGGTTCAGTTCCCAGCACCACATAAATAAGTAAACAGAAGAGAAGTCTGTTATTTGCTTCATCCATAGAGAGGTCACCAGTAAAGTTTGAATCTACTGGCCAAGTAGGGCCTCAAAGAAACCACCAAGAGCTCTCAGATGATGCTATAGGTGGTATCTCAAGGTAAAACTGAAAAGATAAACATAAAACTAAAGAGTTGATCAACTGTTCCGTCTCCCACTGTACTACTTGTTTCAAAAGGTGTGTGTTTTTTTCTTAAAGGAAAAAATGAAACAAAGACAAAAGCTTGTTTGTTGTTTTTTTTTTCCTTCAATGAATACCTCATTTTGAAATGTTTTCATCAAGCAACAAAAGGCAGAGGAAATTCCCCTACCCTCCACCAGCTTGTTACACTGCCTCCGTGAAGTACTAAGAAAGCCAAAGAATAAGATGTTGCATTTCTTTTAAAATAATTTAAAATATATTAAATTTTCCTAAGGCAGATTTCTGTCTGAATGAGGTGCCTTGATGAGATAACCACATGCCACTGAAGGAGAACAGTACTTTTAAGGAGCTATTTCTGTTTAGGTGTAGCACTGAGACTGGCTGATGAGTCCAATGAGGTCAAGCAGCAAAGAGATGTACGTAAGAATACGAGCAGAAGTGATGACAACAGCGGCTCTTCACATGGCTAAGACACATCTTTACAACTGGTCCATTGAAGTATGCTGGTCTTTTGATACCATTGAGAAAAACACAGTTGTACCTTAATACAGTATCTCTGAAAAAACACAAATAAATATGATGCTAATAAATGGCCAACAACTGACACAACTCGGTAGCCATTTGAACAGTCATGCAGTTTAGGAGTAAATTCTCATAATCTGACATACAAGTTTGTCACCTGCACATGCACACCACTGCTTAACAATAAAAACAGCCAATAATAGTGTCTGTATCGGTCAGGAGCACACAGCCTGTTTCAGTTGTGCCAACATCGAAGCTCCCCGGACCATAGCAGAAGGGAGGGAACTTCAGATCATGCTACCACTGCACCTGAAACAGGGTGACGGGTATTATGCTACATGGCAGTCACTTCCCAGCCGTAGGAATGTGAGCTTTGCCACCACTACAGAGAGGCTCTGGAGGCCTGCTTTACCATCAAAACAACAACAGCACTCGGAATTCCAACAACTAGAAGTTCAACATCTGCTGTTTACAAGTGGACCAAAGATTTAAGGTAAGGCTCTGTCATGGCTGAAGAGGAATCTCCTCTCAAACTGCCTTGCACGTGCCATGGAGGGAACAGTCCATGGCGAGTCCACTGGGATCTGGCTTGCTACATTCTATTCACAATCCCAAAGAAAGTCTGCTTCAATCCGGACCAGATCTTTGGCTCATTCTTCCCTCTATTCCTTTGCCAGGAGGATTTATTCTGCCACAGAGAGAAGATGGCAGCGTTGTTTAAAAAGTCCTGTATGTGAGGAACTCTTTCATTTTCTTGGGGATTGGCAGTGCTAGGACTTGGTACGTGGTCAGGAAACTTCGAAGGGCTTTCCGGCATAAGTGCTTCAGTGAGGACAGAACTCTGGGGGCAGTCCAGAACTGGACATGGCCATCTCTTGTCCTGAAATAAAAGCAACCAGCACATTAAGGTTGACCAGAAGTTTACATTTTCATTACGATGAATGGTGATTTTTTTCTTTTTTATTCTCGGAGAGTGGTATTTTTAAATTTGACCCGAAATACAGAGAGACTTCAGAGGGTGAAATGCAACTCAAACTGCGAACAGATTAAAAGGTGTGCTGATGGCCGGGTGTGGTGCATACACCTGTAATCTCAGCACTTGGGAGGCTGAGTCAGGAGGATCATTGCAAGTTTGAGGCCAGCCTAAGCTACACAATGAGTTCAAGACCAGTCTGAACTATATAGTAAGAGCCTGTTTCAAAAAAAATAACAGGTGTGCTGATAAATGAAAGATGCTGACAGGATTATAAGGACTGAAGATGTTACCCAGACATGATAGCTCATACTGTAACCTTAGCCCTCTAGGGGACTGAGGAAGATTTCAAATTCAAGCATGAGCAACTTAGAGCCTATCTCAAAATAAAATTAAGAAAATTTAAAAGTCTGGGGATATAGCTCAGTGTGAAGACCTGAGTTCAATCCCCAGTACCACAAAAACAAAGCTCAAGATGTGGCATATATGCCTGTGGTCCCAGCTATTCAAGGGACTGAGGCAAGAGAATCACCTAAGCCCAAGAGTTTAAGATCATCCCGGGCAACAGTGCAAGACCACATCTCAAAACAACCCACCTGAAGACACCTCTGCTCCCAAGCACCATCTGTGTCAGCACAGCCCTTTCTATGCAGTAGTGCAAAGGAAGACAGAAGTGAGTGCCGCCTACTGAATTACAGGGTTACCTGTAAGGTGGTCTCAGCCGTAAGTAAATGGTTTCCCATATAGATTCTCCATCTTAATTTACGCTTCCAGATGGACCTGGCCCACTAGGTGGCATGAACAACAGGTCTTTAATTACATTTAGATTAAGTATCAAGAGTAAGCGATACATTGGCAGAACAGAATATTTAAATCTTACATAATCTTGGATTTCATTTAAGGGTTTGTCAGGGCAACAAAATTCTAGATGTTTCTTCCCTTAAAAAAACTACATGATATACCCAGCAGAAACTGCTGTCTCTGGTCAGCTAAGAGATACATACCCTGTGGCAATAACTCCACCATGTGGAAAAAATGTGCAGCAAAGACCATTGGTCATAGGAGCAAATGCAATGGGAGCCTTCAGTTCCAGGGCCCAGATCCTGAGGAGCCTGCACAGGAGAGGAGGGGTACAGTCACACATTTGCTGAGCTGGGCCAGACCGAGAGGGAAAAATCCTGGCAACGCTGCAAGCACCTGCCCAGAGGCCTCCCAAAGAGCTCTGGTTACCTGTCATCTGCCACTGTAGCGAGGTACAAGCCTTCGGGAGAGAAGCACACGGATCTCAGTGAGCTCATGTGGACATCGCTGTCATCCATGCTAGGGTCGAGCTGGGTGTGGCTGCAGGAAAAGAAACAGGTCAGTAGGCCGGAGTGAGGGCCAGTCTCCCACTGCACCCTCACCAGAGGCGAGTGCCCAAACTGCCGTGGCTGGTGCCCATATGAGAAAAAAATGAACCCTTCAGAAGGCTCCAAGTGGGGCCGGGGATATAGCTCAGTGGCACAGGCGCCTGCCTGGTAAGTGCAAGGTCCTGAGTTCAATTCCTGGTACCAAAAAAAAAAAAAGGCTCCAAGTGTCTAGAGCGGGCTGGAGGGTTGCTGGCACTTCCTTGTGCTAATTTCCTTATGCAAAGTAGGTCAGTTCGCATTTTAATGCCACAGTACAAACGGAAAGTCTTTTTTAGGCTGAGATACATGATAATTATAGGAGTACCTATTATTTGCTTCATAAAACAACAGAGACAAAGGGAAAAAGTAGACCGAGACTATGAGATGAAAATTCACATTGGAAACGATAGTTTCGATCAGAGGATCGTTCTGAACTTGGTACTACAGTTATTACTAAATGGAAATAAAGAGTCACTCTGAGGTTTCATAATGCTGAATCCAGACAGGTGCAGAGAGCCTCCTAAAGCAGGAGATGTGAGGACACCTGCGTATGATTTGGGGAGCCGAAGTGACACAGAAGCAATGACTGCCTTTGGATGCAGGCTGTCCCCTCCCGTCCCAGATTCCCAGGAAGTAGTAGCAGGAATTCAGTCCTTACTGGAGTGACCTCAGCCTTTCACCAGTGTAGGGGTCCCACATAATCACGTTGGTATCGTAAGAAGCCGTGACAAGCAAGGCAGAGTCGGGGGAGAAGTCACAAGACACAACACTGCTTTGGTGGCCCTCTAACTTCCGGATCAATGTGTAGGACCGCATGCTCCATAGAAAGACCTGTGGAGAGAGAATAACAGGTGGCTGGTGAGGGACAGGAACAAAGAGTTCACAGCATAAACAGCAGTGAAAGGCACTGAAACTCCCTCCTTGGGACATATCGCCAGGAAAAATTGTGTCCTCTTCCTTTTCCGCAGCATTCTAGAACCTACCATAGAGGTGAAGTAGAACACTGGATCTGAATTCTCTAGCCACGTCCTAAAAGTGTTTTGCATAAGAGAGAATATGGTAGGCTAACTCCAGCAAGGCTGCCGATGTTTGAAAATACGGTAGTGTGTGCTAAGGAAGACGTAAGCCAAGTGCTATCCTGTTCCACTTAAAACCAAAAACAAAGGGCAGAACTAACTCCAGACCCACCCCACACCTGTTTACAGCACCAAGGACTCTGTCCCAGGCTCTGCACCTGACCTAGCTCACCACTTCAGACCTTTCTGGGGATGATTTAAAATAGAATTTCACTTTCTTTCCTTTAAGAAAATGCTCACTGTCTCGTGGGGTCTAAACTCAAATGATCAACCACCTGGGCTTTACCAAAAGGTGATTCCTTATTTCCCCATCAGTTACAGTAAAGGCTCAATACAAATGTGGAATCTGAAAAGAAACAAACTGTACCAAACGGCCTGATCTTGGGTTTCTAATATGTTTAAAAATAACAGGGTTTCAGGACAAAGTTCAACAAGTAACTGTACATATCATGATTTGAATTGGAAATTCTCATCAGACAGATTCAAATCAAGATGGTTCAAAGGAAGTAAGGATTGAGATGTGGGTTGCAACTCTTACGACTCCAAGGAGAAAAAAAATTTAAACACCGTTTTTCCATTCTGTAAAAGGAAATAGCCCCTAGTGATGGGTGTAATGGGTGCGACCTACTTCAGAACCCTCCTCCCTGGTTCATGTCAAAGTGCCAACCACAAGGGAGCTGGGCAGAGGATACAGCCTGCCAGTGTGCCTCCCTCACCACACACAACAGCCTCTGCTTCAGACCTCCATGTCTCCATGCACAGAAGCACAGCAGGAAAGAGTGCCCAGGGTCTGAGGCTTACCGACTTCTCTCCAGCTGCAGAGCACAGCATGCTGCAGTCCGGGGAGATGGAGCAGCAGTAAACCCACTGCAGGTGGCCAGATAACACCTGAATCTGCTTACCTGGCCAAGAAGAAAAGCAAGCTGTGAGCAAACTATGAAAACAACAACAAAGCAGACAGAAGAACCACTAGTAATGGCCCAGCACCCATGTACATCCAGTTCTCTCAGAGCTGAATCCAAAGGCACACTATTTTAATGTACAGAAAGATCTATGGTGAGATGTGTCATTTAAACACCCGTAAGGAAAAAAAAAATAGACACCTGCAATCTATTAATATGGCATTCTAATGGACAAGGGAAACCATTACTTACAACTTCATCTAAATCTACAAGATCAACAGGACAAAGGGCACACACAGATCTGCTCCGATTGCAGAGGACATTCTTTTCAGGTAACCAATCACTTCAAGTACTTTGAAGCGTCCTTCCCAATTCTAAGAGTGTTTATCCTCAATTCTCCCACCTTTAACCTCTGTAATCCTTTCACCACGGTCGCAAGGATGGCTCCTGAAGGGTATAGAGTAATTATAGGCTTAGCTCTGTAGTCAGACAGGCTGGCTTTGAAATGCTGGCTCACTGCTTACTCGGTGCTTAGGTTGGGTGCCTTAGGTCATCTCTCCAGGTTTTGGCTTCTTGGACAAAATCTAATGTCCATCCATAAGGGAGAGGGTGCAGGAAGTGGGGCATATCCAGCCTGTTCATGACACATCTTTCCATGAAATATTGTTTAATTTTTTAAAAAAAGCAAGATGTGGAAAGACCATGAAGATACCATATAGGAATATATCAGTACAGAAAAAAATCACATACTATTGTAATGTAAGTGTACATTACAGGTTCCTTGTGGGGGGCATTAGGAATAAAACCCAGGGATACTTTACCACTGAGCTACATTTCTACCCCTTTTAAAAGTTTTATTTGTTTATTTTCAGTACTAGGGGTTGAGCCTAGGGCCTTCACACTAAGTGATAGATCGATCTATCTATTTATCTATCTATCTATCTATCTATCTATCTATCTATCTATCTATCTACGTTAACCTGCCCAGCATGCAGGAGGCCTGGCTTACTACCCAGTACCACACGCCAGTACCAGTGCATCTGTTCTGAACATGTAGAGATTTTTTTTCTTGGAATTATTCCTTAAACAATATATTGTAACCGCTTCTCCCCAGTGTTTACATTGTAATAGGGATCATAAGTAATCTAGAGATGGCTTAAAGTATGCAGGAGGATGTGAGCTGGTTCTGTGCAAATACTGTGCCATTTTATATAAGGGTCTTGAGCATCCATAGGGGTCCTGGAGCCATAGTTTTGGTATTAAAATCTCTGGGACAGGGAGGCTGATTAGAATGAAAATGTCTAAAAAGGCTCCTTAGGAAGTAATAACAGCAAAAAGACTGAAAAACACTATTCTAGATTAAAATGACACTGAGGAAATTGAGAAAGGGGCAAATATACTACTTTTGGGGTGTCCAGGTACTCCAACCACCTCCCTACCATGTTTATTCAGGTCCCAGATGCGAAGAGTCTTATCCCGTGATGCAGAGACCAAAATCAAACTGCCACTAGGTGTGAAACTCAAATCTCTCACAACATCTTGATGGCCAGAAAGATTCAAAAGCAGGAGTCCTGAAAGCAAAGCAGAAGCAGTCAGCTGGACAGACAGCACCCAGAAGTGCCAGTCACTGTGCTACCCCTCCGCCAATCCGGGGCCAGCAGTCCCCGTGAAGCCTCATCAGTCACGAACATGTCAGCCAGGAATGGCCTACCTGTCTGCACCTCCCAAATCTTGATCTGCCCATCATTGAGTCCCGTGGCAAGGATCAGGCAAGAGACGTCCGGCACTTGGGGATGGTGGCGTGCCCAGAGCTTCCGGCTGGGTGGAGAAGGCCAAGGGCTGAAGGCCAAACCCCAAACAATCTGACCACAGTCCAGTGTCTTTTCTTTTGGGCTGCTTCGACCTTTTGTATCACTTTTGCTGCTTCGACTTTTGGCTTCAAACCCTTTGGGGATGCTGCAGAAGGCAGAGATTTCTTAATGAGTCCACAATTATGACCAGGTCAACCAACATATCATCTGGGGCAGGAAGACTCTGAAGCCCTAGAAACAAATTTTGGCTTTCAGTAAAGTCTCGTGTGACTTTTCTTCTGGTTTTATTTTGAGATTCATGTAACAGAGGCCTCACCAACAGCCTTGCAACTGAGTGGCCTGTCTTGTGGGATAACTAGATCACAGAGGCACGAGGGAGCCACATACTTGCTCAGAATGTTCTCTTGGGTTTGGATGAACGGAAAGAAAGATGCACTCGGCTTTCCCCATGAGAAGGCACATTCATACAGTACGTGTGGAACCAGGACAGACAGAGTTGGAGCCTGCATTCCCAGCTACCGCTGTCTTGCCTAAGACCCCTTATCTTCATCTCAGAAATCCTCAAAGAATTGGGAAACAAACCCCTCTGTCCAATATGGTTTTTGTTTGGTACATGTTGATTTCTACCTTCATTTACTCGGTTCTAGTCAGTCATGACTGTTATTCACTTCCCTGCGAGTATATTGAAGACAGGAGCCATTTGATGCAGTCATCAACAGAGACAAGAAACTGCCCTAGAAGGTCTCTTAACCTAACCCCCTCCTGTTCTACTCTACTCTCGGCCAAACCGGTCCAGACGAATGAAGCTCAGTCCCCACGTTGCTGGGCCCTACCCTGCCTACCACTATACCCAGAAGACAAAGTCCCAAAGGCACACGCAAGCAGACAGCTCTGCAGTTTGGCCTGAAAGCACAAAGTTTACTATGTGTACAATATTTTACTGGCACAAATAATAAATAGCACTTTCTGTGTATCTTCAACCATCATTTTGTGTAGCTGGACCTCTTTATTCCACATGTTCTAAAAAGTTCTAAGTAAATCACGTTGCTGTCAATTGTGTGGTAAAATATAATAAAGAATTTTAACCATTTCACCTGTAGAACTGAATGGAACTAAGGCAAGTGTAGGCTCTACAAATGTAAAGCAAGTTGGCAAACTATGCCCAGGTCAGCAGTCTATTTTGTTTTGTTCATTCAACAGTCCTCTTGTCAATTTTTTAAGTCAATGGTATGTACAGGTTCACAAAACCTGTACACACTTAAAATGTACATGTCAATATATGTTCACATTATGAAATAGTTCAACTAAGCTAATTAACATATATCTCATCTCATACACTTTTGGTTGTGAGAACATCTATAATCTACTCCTGTAGCAATTTTCAATCATACTTGTACACTAACTAAAATTGCACCAAATTTTCCAAATTCACACTGCCTGACACTTTGTGGCCTTTGAGCAATAGCTCCTAGTCCCCAGCCCTCTAACCTCAGTCTCTGATGGCTACCAGTCTATTCTCTCTTAAGAATTTGACTTTTCTTAGAGTCCACATAAGAACATGTGGTATTTATCTTTCTATGCCTAGACTTCACTTAACATAATGTCTTCCACGTGTATTCATGTTGTAGAAAATGACAAGAATGTGTTTTGGTAAATAAAGTATTACTGGAATCCTGTCATTTTCAGTTGTGCAAAGAGTGCTATACCAGCATAACTAAACAGTCGTGACAGACTATGTGGCCCAGAGCAAGATGCAAAATATTTACAGTTTGGGCCTTTATAGAAAAATGTTTGCTGGCCCCTGGCCTAAATGACCATCAGTAATCTGAAAATAAGGGGCTGGGGATTTAGCTCAGCGGCAAAAGCGCCTGCCTGGCATGCGCAAGGTTGTGAGTTTGGTTCCCGGTACCGGAGAAAAACCAAAAAAAAAAAAAAAAAAAAAAGTAATCTGAAAATGTGTTTTCCTGGCTAAACAAGCTGAATGTGATCCTCAACGTCTTTTTGAGTGGCCCTGTCCAATCCACATACTGCCCTTCTCCTGCTGTCCACACTACCCACACGTGCCCGGCCCTGGCGCAGGTCCCTGAGTTGCCATCTCTGGAATGACTTTTTTTTTGTACCGGGACTCAAACTCATGATCTCATACTTGCCAGGCAGGCACTTATGCTATTGAGCTATATCACCAGCCCTGGAAGGACTTTAAAAGCAGACCTCAGGAAGAACTTCACAGCATAGCTTGTAACCTTCGAAGTTATATTTTTTTTTAAATAAAATTCTGATTTTAGTATTTGAATTAAAGGATACACCCTGCAGCCATTTAATTCCAAAGGAATAAAGGCACATTTACATATTACTTCATTTTAATATCATAAATGGAGTTTTTCTAGAAAAACAGTTACGTGCTGCTTAACAACAGGGATACATTCTGAGAACAACATTCTGAGAACTGACTTCATAGTTAGGTGATTTTGTCCTCCTGGGAATATCACCCAGCTACAATTGTAATTGTGATCAGTAAAATTTAAAAAAAGAAGAGAAACAAACATACATGGGGAATCTGGAAATGAAACAAACAATAAAAATTATCCACAATCCTAACACCAGTCTTATCATAGTAAACATTTCATTACAAATTTCTACTTGTATACATATATACAACTATAAGAAATAAATTGTGGATAACTGTATGTATAAGGTTTTTTTGCCTTTTTCCAATAAGCCTTATACTGTACACATTTTCCCAGATTATTATTTTCCAAAATGTGTGATTTTCCCACAAACCAATAAACTTTTAACATATTAATAACACTTTTCTTATGCTAAACAATAATTAAAAGGTTAATAATCAAATACTTTTCCGTTTTCTTTCATTAATATTGAAATAATATATTTATCTTACAGTAATGTATGTATTTGAGTGTAAGTGATTTTTTTGGCAAATAACAGATTTTCCATTTTATTCTTTTTTAAGAAAAACTTTTTGGACAATGAATTGGTATCACTTCAAGGCTAGACACAAAGGAGAGTCTCTTTTACTTAAAATGGAGATAAAAAAATAAAAATGAAATGAGGATCAAGAAAAAAGTGAATGACCTTGGTATGACCATTAGGCTGACCATAGAAGGAATTAAAGATAGTGATTACAAACACACAACAATCTTTGACGGCTGCAAAAATATTACATGGAAATGTAGCAATTTCCCTAATCACCCTCTCAGCACTGAATTTGAAGCTAGTCTTGTTTTTTTTCTGCTATACTATGTTACACTATTGCATCTATGGCAAGATATAGATACAGGGCCATCTAACTGGAAGCTCCTCACATTCAGATACCGGGACCAGTCTGTCCCAAGGAAAGAAAAACTTAACTAAACTAGATTAGTAACGAAAAGAAAAAGACCCAACTTAAAAATATACAAAAGATCTGAATAGGTATTTCTCCAAAGAAGGGCTATAAAAAGATCAATAAACTCACACAAAATGGTGCTCAGCACCAGTAGTTGTCAGAGAGATGCAAACCTAAACCACTGAGATTGTATTTCACACCCATTAGGATGGCAATGCTGGAATCAAGACGAGTTGGCAAGGATGTAATGAATGAGAAACCTGAATATGCTCCTGCTGAGAACGTAGCATGAATGGTACCACCACTTTGGAAAAGAGCCTGATACTTCCTCAGCTGACCAATGAAATCAACTGCCTGCACAAAAAACTTGTATGTAAATGTTCAAAGCAGCATTATTCAAAATAGCCAAAAGTGGAAAAACAAAAAACCAAACATGCATTAATGAGAAATGTATGAATAAAATCTACCATTCCTGAACCATGCTGTACCATGTGGCGATAAATGGAAATGAAGTAGTGATACCAACTACAACATGTGCGAACTGTGAAACATGCTGGAGTGGTTCAGCAAAAAAAGGCCACATATAAGATTTCATTAATATGAGATGTCCCTAACTGGCAGATCCAGAGACAGAAAGCAGATTAGCTGTTGCCAGGCGTGGAATAAAAGAGAAGCTGGGGATGTCCACAAAGGGACACAGGGTTTCCTTCTAAGATGATGAAAACCGTTAAAATTGATTATGATGATGCATGCATAACTCAGTGAATATATTGAAAGCCATTTTATTAGATATCCTAAATAAGTGAATTGTATAAGACATCAATTTTTATCTCTGTAAGGCCGGGGATACAGCTCAGTGGCACAGCAACTGCTTGGGAAGCACAAGGTCCTGAATTCGATTCCCAGTACTCCCGCCCCCAATTTTTTTTTATCTCATCAAGCTTTTAAGTCAACTTGGGCTCACAATCTTGATACAACTTTTTGTTTGTTTGTTTGTTTCTGTCTTTTCCAGCCATGGTCTTACTCTGCGGTTCAGGCTGGCCTTGAGCTCACTTTGTAGCCCAGGCTGGCCTCGAACTCCCAACAATCCTCCTGCCTCAGCCTCCCCAGTGCTGGGATTACGCCCGGCCTTGATACAACTTGACTTTTGCATGTACAGAACTTGGAGCTCTGTAACACTCCCTTCCCAATTCCTCAACTGTTCAACCCTTTTCCCTCTATTTTGGACAGGGAGAACCCAAAACAATGGGAAATTTGGAAAGTGCCCCCGTGCCCCACCATGAAAATTTCCTCATTCCTTTGGATGCAAAGAGTACTCACAACTGCTCCTCCAGAGGCCAGGGAATCAGCTTGACAATGCAGTGTCCTTGTGACCAGGCAAACCAGGAGCCATCAGGCGAGAAGGCGACACTCCAGGTTTCACAGCTCGACTTCCAATCAAACTGGTGGGGGCGCCCGGGCTTGAGTTCAGCCAACAGCAGTGGTTCCTCTGGGGCAGGAGACAGCATGCTTCAAAAACACAACCTCACTCCAGACCACCAGACTCGGGCAAGAGGCAGTCTACCCTTGACTTGGAAACATAGATTCCCTGTGGGAGTTGTCATTTAAATGACCTGTAGCAGTAACAGTAGCCATAGGCCAAATTCCACCAGCGTTTTATTCAGCCCCAGCCCTCCCCAAAGCCAGTTAACTGTGAGTCAGAGAAACCTTTGTACTTGTAAACTTAAGGAATGGAGGCCTCATTTTCCTATGAATGCCCAAGCAGGAAGAAAGTGGAGAGGACACCAAGCCAGGACTAAGCCAGACCGTGCAAAATTGCAAGATATGCTACAGATGCTCCATCAAACCAAACAGCCAGCCAATGCATTTAAGGTCCCATCCACAGAAACTTACTGAGGAAGAGGCAAGAGTATGAGGATCTGCAACTCAGAGAGTCTTTATTGTTCACAGCGCCCTCCCCACCACCAAGCTAAAAGCATCCAAACTTCACCTGCCCTCTTCTTGCTCAAATCTATAGGGGAGGCCTCCCCATCTTCCCCAGCTCCATCTCTGTCCTGGTTTCAGTCTTTATCTCATCTTGCCTAGAGTTTTTGCAAGAATCACTTAATTCATTTTCCTACCCCAGAGACCCTTTCAAAGGTGAAAACACACAACATGGCCCATGTGTCATTTCTTTCAAATACATTCCAAGGTTCCCATCTGCCTACAGGATAAAAGCCAATGAGCCTAGGCCTTCCACCCAACGCTCTGCCACGGCACCTCAGTCCTGCCTCTTTCCCATCACATCTCCTGGCCCTGCAGGGCACCTATCTCCCTGACATGGCCCCACACGCCTTCTTTTCATGTTCACACTAGGCTCCTTTGGTTTATGAGAATCCCACCTAGATACAACTGACAAGCATCCCCGAATCTCACACTATCAAAGCAGGACTGAGTCCCACCCTGTTTATTTCATTCTCTGCTGCTGTAACCAGCATTTAAGCACTCTCCTGACACTACCAAAATTTTAACCTTTCTCCCAGGGCCTGCACAGCGTCTTGTGGGCAGGCAGTATATACTTGTGCTTCCTCATGGACTCAACCAAAGTTCCTAGTTCAATTCTCTACTCTGGTGGAAGATTCTCCACAGGTGACAAAGCCTGTGAGTTAAAGGCCTTTAGTGTGGATTTCCTGGCCACTATGACTGTGATACATACTAAAATATAAAAACTGGCTTCCATTCTGAATGAGGTCATTTCCTTCTGTGCATGTTCCACTTCAGCAGTCCCAGTCTGTGACACACTTATGGCTGTTACCAGATAGATACTAATTTAAACAACCTATATTTCATATATTTTAAGATTCACCTTTATATCTCTTCTTACATTTGACTTTGATGAAATCAGGATGTATCTTTTTTTTTTCTTTGGCTTTTTGAGATAGGGTCTCCCTATGTAGTTCAGGCTGGCCTTGAGCTCACTCTGTAGCTCAGGCTGGCCTCGAACTCCTGACAATCCTCCTGCCTCAGCCTCCCAAGTGCTTGGATTACAGGCGTGCGCCACCACGCACAGCTGGGATGTATCTTATGACTGATAACTTCTCATAGTTAAATACGCAGTATCTTTTCTTGGTGACACAGACTGGCAACATACTTCATGGTGTCTTGGATTCAGTAAAACAGATATAAACGTGCACATATATATTTATATATTTTTCCTGGTATGTGCAATATTTCATAGGCAAATGAAATTTCATAGTATTTCATAGGCAAATACATAGGTGCACCTTGTTTTATAAAGTCTGTTACTAAAAACTGTCTTTCAATAGAATTTTAATAAATTTTTTCATGCCTTTATAGAATATTAATACCCTGAGGGTCTATATAGAAATCTAGATTTAACTATTAAGTCTAAATTAGCATTTGTTGTCAGGTACAAAGGCATATGCCTGTAATTCTAGACTGAGGTGAGGCAGAACTGCCAAATTCAAGGTTATCCTAGGCAATTTGGCAAGACCATTTCAACATAAATAAATAAGAAGAGCTGAGCCAAGTATGATGGCATACACATGTAATCCCAGCATTCAGGAAGCTGAGGCAGAAGGATCACATGAAGTTCAAGGCCAGCCTGGGCTACACAGTAAGTTCAAGGCCAGCCTGAAATACAACAACAGCCTGACTCTAAAAAAAAACAAAAAAAAGGGGGTGGGGTGGAGGGTTGTTTAGGGATATAGCTCAGTAGTAGAGCATCCCTGATTTCAACACCTGGTACTGCAAAAAATAAAAAACAAAATAAATTGACATTTGTATAGACGCAGGTAATTCCTTCTAGAAAATGTGTTTGTGTGACCCTTTCATTTATACAGTCACATGTCGATGTATATAATTCTGTGGATGTGAACATTTACCTAGTTAAGTTCCCTTATATATTATCCAAAAAAGGCCTCTAGATGTTATGCAGGAATTCACCAATATTTTCTTTGATCTCATTACCTCCAGATATTTTCCTCCTGAGACCTAAACCCTAATCTATAAACGTCTTCTTCAGGTAGCTCAGGGCAACTTCACCCCTGAGGGCATGTGGCACTGTCTGGAGTCATTTTTGATTGTCTGGAAGTGCAGCGTCACACCTAGTGGATGGAGGGCAGGGCAGCTCCCACTACCAGGCCCAAAACATCAACAGTGCAGAGGATGAGAAATACAGTTGTAGTCCAGTAGCAAATGATACTGACTGATCTAGAGGTGCAATTCCATCCTGGTAATACTCACATTTGGCTGCTGGGTTTGGCAGCACACCCCTGTAATCCCAGCACTTGCGAGACTGAGGCAGGAGGATTCCAGTGAGTTGGAGTCCAGCCTGGACTAGCCACATAGTGAATTCCAGGCCAGCCTGAACTACATAGCGAGGCCTCGTTTCAAAAAAATATTCACACTTGGTTAATTTCCTCCATAACACACACATTATCCATCCATTTGCACCATGGGGCTCTATCCTATACAAAGGGCTTCTCTCTTGATCTCTCTCACCTCCCAAAATGAACCCATTCACAAGTTCAAGGGTCAGTTTCCAAGACTCACATAATCTACTTTCTATCCATCTCCATGTTCTGCCCCTCACCACCTCCTCCCCTCCCCTCCCACAGTGGTAAGTTTCAACCGTTTTTAGAATAAGACCCAAACTCCTCACTCTGCCCTCCAAGTCCTGGATTACCCGACCTCTGCCTTTGTTCTGTGCCCGCTCCAGTACCCTGGCCTTCTACCTCCTGCCTACGTTTGATTACTTGAGGACCTTCACCCCAGCTGCTCCCTTCCTGGGAATGCTTCTTCAGGGCTGGGACCTTCTCTTCATTCAAGTCTGGCTCAAATGGTAACTCCTTAGGGAGCTCTTCTCTGACTCCTAGTCAATCTCCCTCACAACTCCTCAAGGTCCTTTCTTTGCAGAATCACTTGATTATTAATACGTTTCCTCCCTACTCGGATATCCACTCCACTGTCGGACCTTGTATGTTTACCCCCAATGCTAGCAGAATTCCTGGCAGAGAGCAGGCAGCCAGTAAATATATCTGGTGAACAAATATACACTATACCTTTATAAATATACCTGCAATGAAGCCCCTTAAACTATTACAATGCTTACGCCAAACATTTCACATGAAATCCTTCTTAAATACCAGCCCTACCCAGGATTCACACTCTATTTCTGTGATTTAGGGATTTAATCTCTTGCTATTTCAAGTTCAGGAATCTAAGCGCTAAAAGAAGAAAGAACCCAGTGACTCCTGCCTCTTGGAGTCTGGGTCCAAACTAAACTTGGCTACAGGAAGAGAAAACCATAATTAGTGCAGAACTTAAAAACACAAAACAGAGCTGAGAGGATCCAGCTGCATCTGGAATTGTACCTGTAGTGCCCTTCTTGAGTTTTAAGTGCTTATGAATTAGGGTTTTCTTTCTCTCCTTCTCTAATTTTTCAATTGACAAACACTGTATATAGTGTACCACAGGATGTTCTGACATGCATTCACTGTGGAATGACTCAAGCAAATTAACACATGCATTACTTCATATACTTCTCATTTTTGTGGTCAGGACATTTTAAAAAATCTACACTCAGCAATTTTCAAGTAGACACTATACTGTCATTTATTAACTACAGTCACCATAATATACAATAGATACCTTGAATCTATTCCACCTGTCTCACCGAAGTTTTAAAATCTCTGACCCACATGCAAGCCCCCTTCCTCATCCCTTTCAGGATTTTCCAATTAAACAATGGGACGTGTTTGGACAATAGGGTTGAATGGAAAGACTTATTACTAGCCTCTTTTATGCACGGCAGTTAGCCTTAACACAGAGAGGGAAGCTATGATCTCAGCGGGCAGGAAGTTTGGAGATGTTTCCTGCCTCCCGACCTTTGCATTAGCTGTTCCAAAGGCCTGGAAAGCTTCGCTTGGCTGCTCTAACACATCTTACAGACATCATGCTCACGTCATCTTCTGAGAGTCCTTCCTGGCCTCACGGTCTAAAGTGACCCACTTTCTTTCCTTTAACCATTTAATTATAATCACCCAGGTATTTGCTTGATTGCTTTGGTTGCTTTTATGTATTTTGTTGCTTTTATGTATCTCTTCCTCAAGCCACCCCAACTCGCCTCTTTCTTCACTGCTACTGGACCACTCTATCCAGTAATTACCAGCCACTCATGGTAACTGAGCGCTTGACAAGTGGCAGGTCTGAACTGAGATGAGCTGGTAGGTACAAAGTACGCACCAGATTTTGAAGATCTAGAACCATTTTTTTAAAATCCTTTAAGATATCCCAATAATTTTTCATTACTTAAATGAATCAAGCTGAAATATTTTAAATGTGTTGGACTGAAACATACGGTTTTAAAATAAATTTCACCTGTTTCTTTTTTAACTCGGCTGCTAGAACACTGTAAATCACATATATGGCTCCTGCTACATTTCTATTGGCCAGCACTGACCTGGAGGGTGCCTGGTACATAGTAAACACTCAATAAATATTTGAATGAATACATGAATTCCAACCACTGCTCTGAAGATTTCTACTGTTGTCCATTGTAATCTCTTTACAACAGGCCTTATTCAGTTTGAAAAGAATGTAAAAACTCTAGCCTACTCTCTGGCCTATTTTTTTTTTAATAGTAGCTCACAACAATTCTGCCCACAACCCCCAAAACGCAGTTGTCAATAATTAGGAAAAACTCAGAACTGGAAACAGACCCCTGTTAAAAAGTGAGGCTAGCTATTGTTCTCAGATTTAACTATAAGGAATCAATGGAAATGACAGCGGAAGCTATAAAGAGATTCAGGTAAGAGCCACAGGAAAACAGTAGGGACCATTTAAAAAGAATTCTATGGATAAATCACTCACTGAAAAGAAAAGCCCTTATCTAGATGGGAACAGGAAAGAGCTGCCTCTACACCTTTTACTGAAAGTCCGGCTCCAGCAAACAAAGAAATGTCATTTCCTAAATTAAAAAGCAACACCTCTCCGCCAGGGAATGCCCGGATTTCAACCAACCCACCCCAGGAACAGGCCAACAGCAATGGGGCCCGCCACACGAAGATGAAGCTTAAACCTCAGTGTGCAAAAAATTCCGAGCCTTAGGCCTCGGCCCCTTTGGAGAAGTTCACCTAAGGGACTGCCTGCGCATCTTCCGGAGTTCAGGGCTCTCCCCAAAGATCCTCAACCCACCCCAAATTTCTATGGAAGCGGGATACAGGAGCAAGGCAGTGGGAAGACAGATGCCTAAGGTTTGCGTCCTGAGGTTTTGGCTTCGCTTTACAACCACACCTTGTCTGCCGAGACAGAGTGTTCTCCGGGCTGGCACGAAGCACACCCAATAATCTGACATGCACAGTTTTCTGATGGTGACAGCTGTTAACCAGGACAGGGCAAGTCCTGGAGCTCGCCCATGGGGGTAACCTTCTCTCGCCTGATCAGACGTGTCACCAGGGACCAGCAACCCCGCCCGTCCCCTCCAGGAATTACAGTCCCCAAGGGAGCGGCTCGGGATGGGGTTTAACAGGGAGGGACCCCAGACCTCACGCGCAGGAACTGGCAAGTTCGGGGATCTCAACCACCCACTGAGGCGGGAACTGTTATTATCCATCTTGCAGAGACAAACGGGTACGTGGGTGGGGACGGTGAGTGCTGGCCCCCGAGCACGGTCACCAGCTCGCTAGGGCAGAGCAGAATCCCCTGCGCCCCGCGCGCGCCCCACCCCCGAGGGACCGTCCCCCCGCGTCCCGCCCTGGCGCCCACCGCACAACCAGTCGGCGCTCGGGTCCGGGCGGCGGCCGCTGACAGCGAAAGCGAAACAAAGCTGGACGCCCGCGCGTCCACGCCGCA